CCCAGCTGTGGCCCGGGGGGTACATGCAGGGCCCAGGGGAGGAGGGGCTGAGTCAAGCCATTCCCCTGGGGCAGGCCTTATGGCTCTGGGGAGGGGGCGCCCACACAGCCTGCCAGGAGCTCAGGTCACGGCGTGCCATCCATGCCTGCAGAGGCCTGCCCTTCGAGGACACGTCCAGGGCATCCAGGAGGAGCAGCCGAGCAGGTGCTAGACACGGCTCCCAGCCGTACCCCGGGGAGCCTGCCCCAGGGGGACACACTCGGGAGTGTGTGGCTGTGTCCCTGGCTGTGACAAGGACAATAGTGCGGTGCAGGCAGGCCATGACTCAGAGCAAGTGTGCTCTGCCCCACCTTATGCCTCCTGGCAGCTGGGAGGCAGCAGTGACACCGTGCTGGAGCAGGAAGACAGGGTCTGAGCCAAAACCCGGGGTCCGCCCAGGGCTGCTGCTGCTCACCCAGGACGCACACAAACCTGCACCCAACAAAGGACTCAGCCAAAATGACCCCTTGAAGAACTCACCAGATGGGCAGTGGGTCCTAAGCATGCCTGCACCCATGGTGGGCAGTCAGGGCTCATCCACGGTCCCCCAGAGATGTCCACACCCACGGTGGGCAGTCAGGGTGATCCCGGCTCCCCCAGAGATGCCCACACCCACGGTGGGCAGTCAGGGTGATCCCGGCTCCCCCAGAGATGCCCACACCCACGGTGGGCAGTCAGGGTGATCCCGGCTCCGCTCCCAGGTACAGCTTCCTGCTAATGTGGACCTGGGGAGACAGACCCTAAAAGGCTTGGGTTCTCTACTGTGCTCAGTCCTGGCTATTCGTCATTGGGGCATGAACCATGGATGGCAGACTCTAACTCATTCATTCTCTCTCTCTGGCTCACAACAATATAAACAAATAAATAAACAAAAATTTTTTTAAATTCAATGTGGATATCACCCAAGTGACTAGTATTTACAAAGAGGAAATCCAGATAAACGCACGAGAAGATGCTCAGCCTCCTTTGTCAGAAACGCAGATTCGAAGAAGGCATCAGGCACACAGTGCTCTCCACTCTGCTGGCATAAGGACTGCTGATACAGCCGATCTGCACAGACGCATGCAGGTCCTACGCCCGGCCACTGCAGGCCGGGGATCACATCCACAGAGGCACGGAAGGCGCGATTGCAAACGTTCCAGACAGAAGCTGAGCACACACGTCCATCTCTTGCAGACAGACCAACCAACACCAGCATGGCCTCACCGAGAAGGCCATGCTGCACAAGGACCAGCCACCTGCGTCACCCCCACAGAGTGGACACAGGGAAGCAGTCACGGAGGAACTTGCACTGTGCTACTCCAGCTGTCAGGGTCAGGGCACAGCTGATGCCGGCTGCGACACGGCAGCATTGGCCCAGTGGATTCGGTGAGAGCGTGGGCTCCTGCTGCAGGAGGGCTGTGGCTATTCAGCCGTGTGGCTAGCGCAGGCACTTTTCACACCAATGAAAAGCCAAAAAGAAGAATGCCGGACCTGAGAGAGAACGGCCCCAGGCGGAAGGAAGCCCATCGGTCACTGCACACGACGGGACAGCTTGACCAAGACGTGAGGTGGTGCAACAGAGGGCAAGGAGAAAAACCAGGAGTCATCTGCTCACTCATGAACCTCAACCAGCAGCCCAATGATGGCTTACCCTGCTATACCAGGACACTTACTGAAAAGACAAAAAAAAATTGAAATAAACTCTTGAATGCTTTTTAATAAGGGTTTCAAATTCAAGAACAAAAACTGAAGGCCTGGCATGGTAGCCTAGCGGCTAAAGTCCTCGTCCTGCACGCACCAGGATCCCATATGGGCACTGATTCGTGTCCCAGCTGCCCCACTTCCCATCCAGCTCCCTGCTTGTGGCCCGGGAAAGCAGTCGTGGACGGCTCAAAGCCTTGGGACCCTGCACCCATGTGGGGGACCCAGAACATGTGCCTGGCTCCTGGCTTCAGATTGGCGCAGCACTGGCCATTGCAGCCACTTGGGGAGTGAGTCAACGAACAGAAGATCTTCCTCTCTGTCTCTCCTCTTCTCTGAATATCTGCCTTTCCAGTAAGAAAAAATGAAAGTAAATCTTAAAAAGAGAAAGAACAAAAACTGAGACCTAAACAATTTATTACTGAACTCATAAATTACAAAAATCTGGAAAACAGTCTCTAAAATAAAAAACCAAGAGGGCAAATTCAAGAGGGAAAGTCAGTAAGACTCAGGCAACCAGGGAGAAGTGACTGTGAGTGGAGGACAAAGGAGGCCCAGCACACGGGGCAGAATGGGAGCTCTGAGTCTGCTGGAGTCTACTGTAGGAAGGGACCAGATACACCTAGACTTGTATCTACTGATCAGCTGACCCCACATGCAGACATCACCCTGGGTTGCCTTGGTCCTTAAGCACAGCGGAGGGAAGCTGCAGAGCGCGGTCAGATGCCCCAGCAAAGATGTCCCAACCACTGCCAGCTCAAGACAGAAGGCGAGCCAGGAGGACACTGGGTTGCAGAGCTTGGCCCACCCAGGTCCCTCCTGGCACTGGGCTGACTAGCCAACGTAAGACGGTACATGTGTGACTTTAAGCCACTGACACAGCAGGTGTCCCAGAGCAGCCACAGTGACCAGTCCAACAGGACGCCAGATGGACCTCCCAAACCTAACAAACCATGTTGGAATGCTCCAGGGTACACAGTACAGGGCCCTGCACCATAGCCTACTGGCTACATCCTCACACCAGGATCCCATATGGGTGCCGATGTGTGTCCTCGTTACTCTACCTCCCTTCCAGCTCCCTGTCTGTGGCCTGGGAAAGCAGTGGAGGACAGCCTGGGGCCTTGGGACCCTGTGCCAGTGTGGGAGACCTGGAAGAATCTCCTAGTTGCTGGCTTCAGCGGCCACTTGGGAAATAAACCAGCAGACAGAAGATCTTTCTTTTTGTATCCTTCTCTGTAGATCTGCCTTTCCAACAAAATAAATAAATCATTTAAAAAGAAAAAATGGGGCCCGGCGGCGTGGCCTAGCGGCTAAAGTCCTTACCTTGAATGCACTGGGATCCCATATGGGCACCGGTTCTAATCCCAGCGGCCCCACTTCCCATCCAGCTTCCTGCTTGTGACCTGGGAAAGCAGTCAAGGATAGCCCAAAGCCTTGGGACCCTGCACTTACGTGGGAGACCTGGAAGAAGTTCCTGGTTCCCGGCTTCAGATCGGCGCAAGCACCGGTGGTTATGCTCACTTGGGGAGTGAACCATCGGAAGGAAGATCTTTCTTTCTGTCTCTCCTCCTCTCTGTATATCTGACTTTGTAATAAAAATAAATAAATCTTTTAAAAAAATGTACATGGTTCACCATAAGCCCAGCCCAGATCTCTGCTCTGGGCAGGGCCAGCTAGAGCTGCACCACGTGGGCACAGCCTGACCACGTCCCCGCTGGGACCTGCATCAGGCTCAGCTCTGGGCAGGGCCAGCTGGAGCTACACCACGCGGGCACGGCCTGACCACGTCCCCGCTGGGACCTGTGTCAGAGTCCTGGCTGCTTGGCTCCACAACCAGCTTCCTGCAGAAGAGCCGGAGAAGGCCCAGAGACAGCCCAGTGCTTGAGGCCCTACACCCACAGGACAGACCGGGTGGAAGCCCAGCTCTCGGTTCCAGGCTGCCCCAGACCTGGCCGATGTGGCCACCTGGGGGCTCAACAAGCAGATGGAAGATCTGTTTGTCACTCTACCTTCCGCATCTATTAAAATAAACACATAAATAAAAGGCAAACTGGGCAGTTTGATAAAAGAAGGGATTTCCCAGCGACCGATACAGAAAGGGCACAAGGCACAACACCCACACGGGGCACAGCGAGCTGGGGAAGTGGGGGGCAGTAGCCCACTAGGGAGGAGGTGCCATGCCCCTGATCCAGCACTAAGCTGTGCCACTGGGAGCAGGGCCCTCAGGCACCGTGTCCGTCCTGAGAAATAAGCCTGTTGGAACCCGACTGATAAATGCTGGGCAATAAAACAAACAACTAGGAAATTGATGGCAAGGCAGGTTGGTGGGCTCTGAAGGCTGGCAAATTCAGAACTACCACCACCAGGCACCTGTGGGCATACGGGCACTGTGGGAACCTGAACTACCACCACCAGACACCTGTGGGCACCTGTGGGTACCCAAACCAGCACAGGATGAGGAGACATGGGCAACGGGAGCCCAGGGTGAGGGAGAGAGGTGCAGAGGGCTAGACGCCGTTAGCTGTCAATGCAGGGCACAGCGCCCACTGTACCAACTTACGGTGAAACACAACAGTGACAGAGAGGAGCCGAGCTTCCATGCCCTGGTCTTCTCAGATGCCAACAGCAGGCCAGACCCAGGCAATGCCAGCTCTCAGCGTGTCCGGTTTGGTGCCTCATCCCAGCACTGGGTGCCTCCTCCACGCTGTCCCAACCATTTCTTATCAATCCACTGGGACCAGCATCCCACATCACCATTGGGATCCTGGGGCCACCCACCCTGGCCACTACCTTCTCCTCTGGCTCCCCAGTCTTCCGCCAGGAGAACCCCAGGACCTCCCCCACCCCACTTCAGCCTCACCTCTCCTGGGGAGGGGCTCCCCACATCTGGAGCTGGGAGGGCTGCTGTGCACCCAGTGCCTGCAACTCTGGGCCTGAGGGTCCCCAGGCACGTGCTCCCCAAGGGTCCCCAAGCACCTGGGGTATCGCCCTCCGAGGGTCCCCGAGGGTCCCGGGCATCGCCCTCCGAGGGTCCCTGGCATCTCCCTCCGAGGGTCCCCAGACCCCTACTCCCGGAGGGTCCCTGGGCACCTGCCTTGAGGGTCCCCGGGCATCACCCTCCGAGGGTCCCCAGGCCCCTGCTCTCCGAGGGTCCTCAGGCCCCTGCTCTCCGAGGGTCCCTGGGCACCTGCCTTGAGGGTCCCCGGGCATCTCCCTCCGAGGGTACCCGGGCCCGACCCCCACTCGGACCGGCCACCTCCGGCCTTCCACGCGCTCACCGGCCGAGTGGCCGTACGGGGACTCGGCGGCGCCGTCCTGCAGACTGGCCAGGATCTCGCCCTTGCCCACGTCGCTGTCGCCCACCAGCAGGAACTTGAGCAGGAAGTCGTAGGCCCGGACCGGGCTGCCCAGGGCGCTCATGCTGCCGCCCGGCCCGCCGCCCATGCCCGGCTCCTGGGCCGCGTCCGTCGCCGCCCGCCCCGCCCGCTGGGCCGCCGTTGCCAGGGCAACCGCGCGCATTCAGCGGCCGCAGCCAATAGGGGCGCGGAAGCAGGCCCCGCAGCCAATAGTGGAGCGGGGACGGAGGGGCGGGGCCTGCAGGGGCGGGACCGGCTGTGCACACGCCCGCGTGCACCGGCGTCCTGGGGAGGCTGGGGTGCGTGCGCCCGTCCTTCCTGGGGAGACCTGCCCACTTTCCTCCACTCCGTGCCAGCGGGTACCTCTGCGCGACGCTTGGTTCCACCAGAGCTGTCCCGGCCTGCAGGACACGACGCTCAGGCCCTGAGGATGGACAGGGAGTGCCGGGCTGCTGGCCCAGGAAGCACAGGGACACACGTACTTGGTGAAAGAGAATGCCCATGCCCTTTATTTTACGCCATATATATATATATAAAACCTTCTCTGGGGAGGAGGGGAAGGGGAGGGGTTTCCTGAAACTAATTATCTACATTGAAAACAGGGAAGTAATCTTTTTTTAATTAATTTCTTTTTATTGCAAAGTCAGATATACAGAGAGGAGGAGAGACAGAGAGGAAGGTGTTTCATCCAGTGGTTCAGTCCCCAAGCAGTCTCTGTGGCCGGAATTGAGCCGATCCGAACACAGGAGCCAGGAACTTCTTCCGGATCTCCCATGCAGGTGCAGGGTCCCAAGGCTTTTGGCTGTCTTTGACTGTGTTCCCAGGACACGAGCAGGGAGCTGGATGGGAAGTGGGGCTGCTGGGATTAGAACTGATGCCCATATGGGATCCTCGTGCATTCAAAGCAAGGACTTTAGCTGCTGAACTACCACGCCGGGCCCTATTTATATATTTTAAGTGAAGGTGAGAGAGGGAAAGAGAGAGAGAGGTCTTGTACCTGCCAATCACTCCCCAATGTCACACGTACAGGGCTGGGCCAGGCCAGTTAGAAGTCAGAACTCTATCCGGGTCTCTTGCATGGGGTCAGGGTCCCAGGGCTCAGCCTGTTCCCTGCTCTCTCCCTGGTGGGTTAGCGACCTGCACGGGGAGTGGGAACAGTGTAGTCTCTGATACCCAATGCTGCTGTCAGCACTATACCACCATGTTGGGCTCCTGGGAATAAACTTTGATTTATCCATCACTGTGACTTGGCATGACCCCAAAGGTTGGAGAGGAACTGCTGGAAAATGATAGATGTGTAACCTTGTTTTTCTGTCCTGTCACAGCTTGGATCTCGCCAGTGGACGCTCTCCTGACCTGGCGGGAGCCGCCTGCCGCCCACCACCGGCTCCCCACCTTGGGCCTGGCTCTTCTGCTGACTGACTCCTTCTGGCCTCTGATCCCACAGGGGCTGCTCCGCCAGGCCGTGGTGAGGCTGGAGAGCAACCTGCCCCAGAAACGGCTCAAACCGCTTTGCTCCTGTTTCTTTCCAAGCCATTTCTTTCATTTTAAAAACATTTATTTATGAGCGAGCAAGGGAGAGCTTGAGAGAGAACGAGCACCCATTTGCTGGCTTATTCCCCTGAGACCCTGAGGCTGCATTCGGCTGGAACCAGGAGCATAGAACTCAGTGCCCGTTTCTTGCCCCACTGCAGGGGCCCAAGCACCCGAGCCATCCTCTGCTGACCACTGAGGTTGGTGTTAGTGTGAGCAGCTGGCATCAGAGGTGCAGCCGGGTCTTGCAGCGCTGCAGTATGGGTGGTTGGCAGCCCAGGCATCCACCACTGCTCCATCCGACAGGGCATGCTGTGGCCAGACAGACCAGAGCAGACCAGGTGTCATTCTGATGGCCATGGCCACTGTGCCCATTAACCTCCACCTTGCCCTACAGGCAACCCTGCGGCTCACCCTAAAGCATACGGGTGCACCCAGGAGGTCCCCAACATGATGCCTGATCACCTCGACAACGTCCAGCGGCACGAAGGTACCCAAGGCTGCCTCGCCCACCCTAGCAGTGTGCCGTCTTGGGGTCCCCACAAAGAGCTGCGCCCTCCTCTTGCATTTGTCCCCAGGCTTTGCTTTCTCAAAACCTTCTGCCTTGGCTGGTCCTGAGAAACACGGGACACGGTGCCAGGAAGACACAGCTCCCGGGTCTCGCTCCCGCCCTGACCTGACGTGGCATGCAGCTGGCCTCAGAGCCTTTGGTGACACCCCCAGCCCGCGTGTATGCTTAGAACAGCTCCAGGTGACTGCACTGACACGGGCCTCAGTCCTACACTGCCTAATGCTTCCCTCCCACCCCCAGTCACAGAGGGAGGCTGCTGCAGGCTGCTCCTGCCAGCACGCCGCTGTGCCTATTTTTAATTTTTTGTCTGCGAAAGTCGTGAGAGGTTTGCAGTATTTCCTTGGGAGAGGAGATTTCTGCTGTGCTTTTTTTCCCCCCTGGAGTGTCCAGACTCCACCAGAAGGCAGCCAGCCAGCCAGAGCCCTGAGCAGCAGGAGCAGCCTAGCCCCACGGACACCGCATGCCCGCCAGCTGCATGCTCTGGACCCTTGCTGGGCTCACACTGCTCTGGTCCGTAGTACTCAGTTAAAGCCCTTAGAGCCTTGCAATCAGATTTCCTACTTTTTTCCTGAAGATCTACTTATCTGAAAGGCAAGTGGCAGAAAGGGGCTGGCAGGGAGAGACAGCTGTTCCATCTGCTGGTTCTCTCCCCGAATGTGTAGGACTGGGGTCTGGCGTAAGCCAGGACCCCACGTGCTGCCGTCCCAGGTCCCTTGGCAGGAAGCACAGTGGCTGGCTTGTCCACTCATCACGCACCTTGGCTGCTGTGGCTGAAGCTGCTGCAAGCACCAGCGTGGACATGCGTGCCCGGCAGCATGGCCAGCACAGGGCAGCTCTGCATCCTCTGAGAGCGCTCTCCTGGCGGCCTGGGGCTGCAGCACTGCGGAGGGGCTGGGAGGCTCCCCAGCCTCGGAAGGAAGAGGAAAGAAGGGATGTGTGACAACTGCAACAACAGGCGAGGAGTTGTTTCTTTTTTTTAAGATTTATTTATTTATTTTTATTGGAAAGTCAGAAAATAGAAAGGAGGAGAGACACTGAGGAAGATCTACCATCTGTTAATTCACTCCCCAAGTGGACACAATGGCCAGAACTGAGCCAATCTGAAGCCAGGAGCCAGGAACTTCCTCCAGGTCTCCCAAGCGGGTGCAGGGTCCCAAGGCTTTGGGCCGTCCTCGACTGCTTTCCCAGGCACAAGCAGGGAGCTGGATGGGAAGTGGGGCTGCTGGGATTAGAACTGGCGCCCATTTGGGATCCTGGCGCTTTCAAAGTGAACACTTTAGCTGCTAGGTCACCGTGCCAGGCCTGGGTTGTTTTTTTCTTAAGCTTCTTCCTCTGATGCCCAAATAAAACAGACTCAGGACTGTCACAGGGACTGCCACATCTCCCCCAGAGCCAGGCCTTGCACACCCCAATTAGCCCTGGGGTCTTTTTGTTTTTTCTCTCTATTCTCTTACTATCAAGAAGTAAGCAGAAATTCACGGCTGAGCTCAGGCTCATGAGTCAGCAAGAACTCACAGCCCAGGTGCTAGCTGCCCCGCTATAGAAAGAAACCCTATTTTAGGCAAAACTCTAGCTTTGAGGGTGTTCCAAAGACATCCCAGCCCCCAGGCAGGATTCCCTTTAAGGCTTTGTTTTTTTTTAAGATTTATTTATTTTTATTGGAAAGGCAGATTAAATTTATGAAGATAAGGAGAGACAGAGAAAGATCTTCAGTCTGATGGTTCACTCCCCAAATGGCCGCAGCAGCTGGAGCTGAGCTGATCCAAAGCCAGGAGCCAGGAGCTCCTGGGTCTCTAACATGGGTTCAGGGTCCGAGCCTTGGGGTCACGCTCTACTGCTTTCCCAGGCTACAGGCAGGGAGCTGGAAGTGGAGCAGCCGACTGCAACTAGCACTCAAATGGCTAGTTTTCTGCCAGAGGTCGGCCTGAGGCCTCACCCAGCAGCCATGCCCCTTCCCAGGGGCCCGCAGTGGGGGTGGGGGGAACCAGGCTGAGGGGTCGTGGTTAGGTGAGGCCCTCCCAGGAAAGGCCACACCACAAGTGGGGGGCCCCAGGGGTCCCTGGGTGCATGCCCCTTCCGGGCACTGCCAAGCCACACCCCGTCAGAACCAACACCACCTAGAAATGTTCATGAGGTGACCTGGTCATTATGCCCTTACAATAAACATGCCTGTGGTGCACCTGACTTCGCAGGCTCCCGCACAGCCACGTGCAAATTGCTGGCGCCCTCTCCCACTAGGAGCCACCCCAGGCACTCCATAGTACTGGCACTCCACCTCTGGTAGCAAAGGCCCAAAGCTTGTGGAGGGATTTTTGGCTTGCTTTCTGTTTATTATCTCTCGACTCACTTGGGGTTGGGGAGAGGCAGTGGGTCATTCTATGAAGCAGTCCTATGGCTTGCCTGTATTTACTCCTTTGTAGTTTTTGATTATTTTCAATATTATTTATTTATTAAAGATTCATTTATTTTATTGGAAAGTCAGATATATAAAGAAGAGGCGAGACAGAGAGGAAGATCTTCCGTCCAATGATTCACTCCCCAAGTGAGCGCAACGGCTGATGCTATGCCAATCCGAAGCCAGGAGCCAGGAACCTCTTCCAGGTCTCCCATGCGGGTGCAGGGTCCCAAAGCTTTGGGCCGTCCTCAACTGCTTTCCCAGGCCACTAGCAGGGAGCTGGATGGGAAGTGGAGCTGCCGGGATTAGAACCGGTGCCCATATGGGATCCCGGTACATTCAAGGCTAGGAGTTTAGCCACTAGGCCATGCCACCAGGCCCGATTATTTCCAATATTATTTATGTAATTGAGAGGGATGCATGCCCATGTGGGGCTCTGGTTGGGGGGTTCAGGAATGGAGGAAGGCGGTGGGACACGTTTCAGGGGCTTTTCTTTTTCCCTCCTCTGTCTGCTGGGAGGGGAGAGGAGGGGGCCGCCCCTTGCTGTCAGACCACCTCAGCACCAGGGAGTGGGGGACGTCCTTTGATGAGGATTGGAGACCCGATATGGGGGTCCAGGGCGCCACCTGAGTCGTTTTGAGGATTCCGAGACGTTGTTGTTCCGGGAATGTTTGCAAGGTCCCAGTCCACCTTAGTGTGGTCACAGGCCCAGGAACGCGCTGCAAAGCTGGCCAGGAGGGTAGTCCAACCTGTCCAACTCTCCACCCTTGACGAGGCAGCAGACGTCCCCTGCTGGACCTGGCCGTCATGTCCCCTGTGTGCATCTGGACTTGCTGTCCACTGCACAGACATCAGCAACGAGGAGGCCCAGTCCTGACACATGCACTCAAGGTCGGACCACACAGCCTGTGGTTTTCCCTGTGGCCGGGGTCTGAGTCCAGTAGTCTAATAGGGGAGTCCCCCAAGGAACCTCATCTGGGGTGACCCCAGACTTGATTCGTGTGTGCCAGAAGTGCAGGTCAGGTTTGGTCCATCACCTGCACCAGCCAACACACACACTGGTGGATGCAGCTGCCTGGTCCCGTCTCTCACATGAACTGATGGGTGCTGTGGTCCAGCCAACCTGCCACAGTTCGGTCTCCAGTCATACCAGCAGGTGCCTGGCCTAGTCAGGGTGGCTCCCAACAACCCTCACCAGGCCCTCCCCCAACCCTGATTTTGGCATGTGCTGGCATGTGCTGCTGCCTAGCCCAGACCATCCCACATCCCATCTGGCTCTCGTGCATACCTGTGGGTGCTGCAGCCTGGCTTAGCTTACCCCAGCCCCGGTCCCAGCCCACCCATATGCCAGCAGGTGGCCCTTACTTGACCAGCAGTTGGCCCACCCCCAGCTCTGTCTCATGTTCGCCAGCAGAAAGTGCAGCCCAGCAGGGGTGTGCCCACAGTTCTACCAGGCCTGTTCCCAGCCCCGGATCTTGCACCTGCCAGAGTCACTGTGGCCCACCGTGACATGGCCAGCTCCTAGACTCAGCATTTTCCAGCAGGTGCAGCGGCCTAGGCCAGCCTGTTCCAGCCCCTCATTCATGTGAACTGGCAGGTGTTGCATCCAACCTTTGATTGTGCCAGTGAGTGCATGGATTGGCCCTTCCTGTCACACCTCCAGACCCACACATATACCGACGGGTGTTACAGTCCAGCCCAATCTGGCCTGGTCCCAGCCATGGTCCGGTGCTCCCCATCGGGAGCTGTGGCCTAGCATGGGCATTCCCCAAGTTCCCCTACCAGGACTGTTCCCAGCCCCAGATCCCATGAGTGCTGGTGAGTACTGTGGCCCCTCAGAGGTGAGCCCACAATTCCCCCCCAGAATCTGCCCACACATCCGATTCTGTCCCGTTCAACCTGACGTGGCCCAGCCCCTGCTCCGACGCTTGCGGGCAGGCACTGTAGCCTAGCCCAGCCAGGTAGGCCTCCAGCCCCATGTTTTTGGGTGCACCCGCGGGCAGCGGGCGATGCTACTTAGCCCAGACTGGTCTCCGACACGGTGGGTACCTTGGCCTGACCAGACATGCCCTCCGTTTCCCCTCTAAACCACGTCAGCTCCCGTGCCTACCAGCAAGTGCAGCAGCCCGGTCCGTGGAATCCCCAGGAGTCATTCCTCCCCTGTCACACATACCCTCAGCCGCTCCCACTCCAGTATGTCCCCAGGCCCCCCTCCCCGGCAATCTGCAGCTCCCAGGCCCAGGAGCTGGGTGTCATGTTCCATCTAGAGTTCTCCATCTTCCAGGATGGGGACTCTCTCTCCCTCTCTCTCTCTCTCCCACACACACACTCCCGACCCAGCTGGGAAAGCAGAGGACAGCCCTGTGTGGGGCCCGACCCCTAGACCCGAGGCCAGGATGGGGTCGCTGGCACACACACCCAGAGGAGGCGACCCCTGTGGCGCAGTGCATCAAGGCATCCCCTGCACTGCCGCCACAGGTTCGAGTCCCGGCTGCTCCCCTCCTGGTTCAGCCTGAGAAAGGCCCACGAGCTCTAAGCTGTGCGTGGAGGCCGAGCGTGTGAACACATTGAGCTCCCGGGTGTGTAGGAGTGAGGGCTCCAGTGGGATGTGCACTCCCACCCGGTTCCCAGAGAGATCCGGACGCCCGCTCCTCGCCCAATCCCCGCGCGTATCATCTGGTCCGTCCCCTTCGCAGCCTCACCCAATCCTCAAGCCTGTTATGGAGGCTTGCCTCCAGTCTCGCCCAATCCCCGGTTTGTCACCGCCCCTCGCCCAATCCCCGTGAGCGTCACCCAGCTCCGATCTCGTCCAATCCCCGCGCGCATCGCCGTCCTCTGCTCAATCCCAGCGTGGATTCCGGCAGTCCGGCCCGCCCCCCGCCCAATCCGCGCGGGGATTGCTTTCTGCCGCCGACGCCAGCGCCGTGCCCGGCTGAGGCCGGCGCGGGTCCTGGCGGGAATATGGAGGCGCTGCTGCGGCGGGAGCTGGGCTACAGCGCGGTGCGGGCCACGGGCCACTCGGGAGGCGGCTGCATCAGCCAGGGCCAGAGTTACGACACGGACAGAGGACGGGTGTTCGTGAAAGTGAACTCCCAGGCGGAGGTCCGCCCGGCGGGAGGCAGAGGGTGGGATCTCGGCGGGAAGGCTCCCGGTGCGGTCGGAGCCCGCGGGATGGCGCTGCCCCTCCGTCCTGCGGTCCTGCCCCTCCTGCCCCTCCGTCCTGCCCTCCTGCCCTTCTGCCCCTCCTGCCCCTCTGTCCTGCTCTCCTGCCCTTCTGCCCCTGCGTCCTGCCCTCCTGCCGCTCCGTCCTGCTCTCCTGCCCCTCCGTCCTGCCCCTCCTGCCTCTCCGTCCTGCCCCTCTGTCCTGCCCCTCCATCCTGCCCTCCTGCCCTCCTGCCCCTGCGTCCTGCCCTCCTGCCCCTCCGTCCTGCTCTCCTGCCCCTCTGTCCTGCCCCTCCTGCCCGTCCATCCTGCCCTCCTGCCCGTCCATCCTGCCCTCCTGTGCCTCCGTCCTGCCCTCCTGCCGCTCCGTCCTGCTCTCCTGCCCCTCCGTCCTGCCCCTCCTGCCTCTCCGTCCTGCCCCTCTGTCCTGCCCCTCCATCCTGCCCTCCTGTCCTCCTGCCCCTGCGTCCTGCCCTCCTGCCCCTCCGTCCTGCTCTCCTGCCCCTCCGTCCTGCTCTCCTGCCCCTCTGTCCTGCCCCTCCTGCCCGTCCATCCTGCCCTCCTGTCCGTCCATCCTGCCCTCCTGTGCCTCCGTCCTGCCCTCCTGCCCCTGCGTCCTGCCCTCCTGCCCCTGCGTCCTGCCCCTCTGTCCAGCCCTCCTGCCCCTTCAACCTGCTCCTCTGTCTGGCCGACACTTGGAGTTGCAACCGAGCACAGCCAGTCCTGTGTCTGTGAACTGGACCACCCCCTCCCGACGCTGCTCTCTACACCAGAACTGCAAAGTGGGGTCGCTGTTTTCCAAAGAAAATTCCCTGACAATTCTGCTTCGCAGTTGTCTTTCGCCTTAGCACCTGCAGCTCCCCTGTGGTAACAATACAGGACCACTCATTAGCTGCTAACTGACAATTGTGGCCGCAGTGGCTGGAGATGAGCCGATCCGAAGCCAGGAGCCAGGAGCCTCTTCTGTGTCTCCCACGTGGGTGCAGGGTCCCAAGTCTTTGGGTTGTCCTCTGCTGCTTTCCCAGGCCATGAGCAGGGAGACACGAACCGGCGCCCGTATGAGATGCCATTAGCCTATGCATCTGCCAGTGGGTCCTGAACTCTTATCTTTTGCAGCCAGACCCCTGAGAACACTTGAGTATGGAAGGGCAAAGTGGCGTGATAAGGGATGGAGCGACAGGGAGGTGATGTAAGGAGAGGAGGCCTGGTTGCTGTCCCGGGCTTTGGGTGCAGTGAGTGTCGCCTGTGTCAAACACGTCTCTGTGACAATGTTCCTTAGAAGGTGTTTTCAAGGGCAAGCGAGGGAAGACTTCCTTGAATTAAGCTGGGCCTTGAGTTGGAATCCTAGGCGTGACTGGGCTGGGAGGAACTGACCCGGCAAAAGATGGGGGAGGCAAAAGATGGGGGACTTGTGTCCCGGGCAGAGGTAACATGGCAGCGTCTCAGGGGGCAACCAGAGGCCAGGAAAGCCTTTGCAGGAGCATGTGTGTACATGTTGGGCTGTGTGTGCGTGGGCAGGCCTGAGTGATCACTCTGGGGAGGGTGGGCCGTGTGCGTGGGCAGGCCTGGACGGTCACCCTGGGGAGGGTGGCAGAGTTGGGAAGAGCTGGGTCGCTCCCTGAAGGGACTGCTGTGTCGGGCAGTAGGAGTCGGGTCGCCATGGCCCACGGGATGAGGAGGATGTGGTGATTTCCACTGCCAGCAGAGTGGCCCAGACATGAGCGTTCCCAGCCTCCCGGTGCCGCCTGTCTGTGGAGCAGCAGTGTGTCCAGGGTGTGGTCTGAGACATCAGGGACAGGTCTGGTCAAGTCCGGGATGGGGGTCTTCTGGGTGGCCTGTGGCCCTTGTTGACATGGGCTCCGCCCGAGCACCAGGGCAGCAGGACAGGGAAGGGCGGCCGTGGCTATGCACCTGTCGCCTCCCCTGCTCTCACTCCAACGCCTTGTCCTCTACAGGCCAGAAGGATGTTTGAAGGTGAAATGGCCAGCCTGACTGCCATCCTGGACACAGGCACTGTGAAAGTGCCCCAGCCCATCAAGGTCCTGGACGCCTCGGGGGGCGGCAGCGTGCTTGTGATGGAGCACGTGGACATGCAGCATCTGAGCAGGTCTGTGTCTGCTCAGTACATTCCAGGCAGAGCTGTGTGTCTGTGTGTCACCTGCTCAGCTGTGCGTCTGTGTGTGTCACCTGCTCAGCTGTGTGTCTGTGCATGTCACCTGCTCAGCTGTGTGTCTGTGTCACCTGCTCAGCTGTGTGTGTGTCACCTGCTCAGCTGTGTGTGTGTGTCACCTGCTCAGCTCTGTGTGTCACCTGCTCAGCTGTATGTGTCTGTGTCACCTGCTCAGCTGTGTGTCTGTGCATGTCACCTGCTCAGCTGTGCGTCTGTGTGTGTCATCTGCTCAGCTGTGTGTGTCACCTGCTCAGCTGTGTGTGTGTCACCTGCTCAGCTCTGTATGTCACCTGCTCTGTGTGTCTCTGTGTATGTGTATGAATCCCTATGTGTGAGTGGCACTTTTTCAGCTGTTCCCTCTTGCTTTGACAGTCATTCTGCGAAGCTTGGGTCCCAGCTGGCAGATCTACACCTTGACAATAAGAAGCTTGGAGAGATGGTCGTGAAGGAGGCTGGCACCGTAGGTAGGACATCTGTGTACGCTGTGGGGGCTACCTGAAGGAAGTTGTTAGTTTGTGTGGGCTGAGGATTGGCCAGGCCGGAGCCTCATAAGAATCTGACTCGTGTGGATGGCAGGACCCATGAGTGTGACCCTCAGACCACAGGGAAGTAAGCAGAGAGTGAGTGAGTGTGAGGAGGCACGGTAAATGTGAGGAAGCATGGTGAGTGAGGAAGCACAGTCAGTGAGGAGGCACATTGACTGAGTGTGAGGAAGCATGGTGAGTGTGAGGAAGCATGGTGAGTGAGTGTGAGGAAGCATGGTGAGTGTGAGGAAGCATGGTGAGTGAGTGTGAGGAAGCATGGTGAGTGTGAGGAAGCATGGTGAGTGAGTGTGAGGAATCATGGAGATTGTGAGGAGGCATGGTGAGTGTGAGGAAGCACGGTGAGTGTGAGGAAGCACGGTGAGTGTGAGGAGGCATGGTGAGTGTGAGGAAGCACGGTGAGTGTGAGGAAGCACGGTGAGTGTGAGGAAGCATGGTCAGTGTGAGGAAGCATGGTGAGTGTGAGGAAGCATGGTGAGTGTGAGGAAGCATGGTCAGTGTGAGGAAGCATGGGCAGTGTGAGGAAGCATGGGCAGTGTGAGGAGGCACGGTGAGTGTGAGGAAGCACGGTGAGTGTGAGGAGGCACAGTGAGTGTGAGGAAGCACGGTGAGTGTGAGGAAGCACGGTAAATGTGAGGAAGCATGGTGAGTGAGGAAGCACAGTCAGTGAGTGTGAGGAAGCATGGTGAGTGTGAGGAAGCACGGTGAGTGTGAGGAAGCACGGTGAGTGTGAGGAAGCATGGTCAGTGTGAGGAAGCATGGTCAGTGTGAGGAAGCATGGTCAGTGTGAGGAAGCACGGTGAGTGTGAGGAAGCATGGTGAGTGTGAGGAAGCATGGTGAGTGTGAGGAAGCATGGGCAGTGTGAGGAGGCACGGTGAGTGTGAGGAAGCACGGTGAGTGTGAGGAGGCACAGTGAGTGTGAGGAAGCACGGTGAGTGTGAGGAAGCACGGTAAATGTGAGGAAGCATGGTGAGTGAGGAAGCACAGTCAGTGAGTGTGAGGAAGCATGGTGAGTGTGAGGAAGCATGGGCAGTGTGAGGAAGCATGGTGAGTGTGAGGAAGCATGGTGGGTGTGAGGAAGCACAGTCAGAGAGTGTGAGGAAGCACAGTGAGTGTGAGGAGGCACGGTGAGTGTGAGGAAGCATAGTGAGTGTGAGGAAGCACAGTCAGAGAGTGTGAGGAGGCACGGTGAGTGATTATGAGGAAGCATGGTCAGTGTGAGGTGCTCTCTCTGGGGGAGTTACCTCTGCTTTGTGGCTTTCACACGGTGTGTGTCCCCTGGGTGGTTGTTGACCTGCATCTGTTGTCAGTGTCCCGTTGTGTGGACGGCCACGTGAGGCTCCCGTCTCTCCTCCCAGGGCGGGGAAGCGGGCGTGCAGAGCGGCCCTTCGTGGACCAGTTTGGATTTGATGTGGTCACTTGCTGTGGATACCTCCCGCAGGTGGGTGGGCCCTGGTTTCCTCCTCACAGGAGCTCTTGTTGCTGGGAATTATGCACCCCGTTTTCTTTGTGGGCTTGTGAGGCCCAGAAGTGTCTATCTTATGTTCACTAGCCTCTCAGAGCAGCGTGCCAGGACCTGGCATCCAGTTACATGGCTCTGCTCACCTCACCCAGGAACAGCGGCCCAAGAGAGGGTGCTGGGTTGTATGCATGGATGGGCAGGGGTTCTGCTCCTCTGAAGCCTTGCCTTGGCATCCGGGGGCCCGTAGGCTTGTGGGGCAGAACCACTATTTAGGGGATTGTCCTAAAAGGGCCTTGGTCTTGGGGCTCTGTCTTGCCCACTCCAGGGAGCCGTCAGGTAGGGCCTCTGCCTACACGCTGGTCCTTCGGGGCTGTGGAGAGGTCGCTGTGACCCCATGCCAACCTAGCCATGGTGCCCTCCTCAGCGCTGCCCTGTGTCCCCTGCCCTCTCACACAGTGTCCCCTTCCACTGTGGGATATTCTGGGCTTCAGGTCTGGCGTTGTCCCTGTCGCCCATTCAGGTGAATGACTGGCAGAAGGACTGGGTCATGTTCTTCACCCGGCAGCGCATTCAGCCCCAGATGGACATGTTGGAGAAGGGATCTGGGGACAGGCAGGCTCTGGAGCTCTGGTCCGCTCTGCAGGTAAGCCATGCATGCCTGGTCCATGGGGCAGCCCTGTGTCTGCAAGTGTCCCTCTGAGCTGCGGCCTCCGAGTGCCCTGCTGGGCTTCCCTGGCCCAGGTGGGAGCCCTGCTGAGACGCTGTTCTCCCCCCAGCTGAAGATCCCGGAGCTGTTCCAGGGCCTGGAGATCGTCCCGGCCTTGCTGCACGGGGACCTCTGGGGCGGCAATGTGGCTGAGAACTCCTCCGGGCCCGTCATCTTTGATCCGGCTTCTTTCTACGGCCACTCAGAGTATGAACTGGCGATAGCTGGAATGTTCGGGGGCTTCAGCAGCGCCTTCTACTCTGCCTACCATAGCAAGGTCCCCAAGGCCCCAGGCTTCGAGAGGCGCCTCCAGCTGTACCAGCTCTTCCACTACCTGAACCACTGGAATCATTTTGGGTCCGGGTACAGGGGCTCCTCCCTCAACATCATGAGAAATCTCATCAAGTGAGCTGCTCGAGGGGAGCCCAGTCCTCCCCAGAGCGCCCTGGGGCCCCTATCACTTTCAGGTTTCTGTGTCATCGTCATGAATTCTTCCCCACCTTCTCGCACAGCTGGAATGGCTTAGGACCCACCAGCAGCTCCTTCCCAAGCCTGGCTGGTAAAGTGCACCAGGGGACAGGTTCTTGTCCCGAAGCTGCACTGTTAACGATCAGAGTCGTGGCCTGTGAGGCCTGTGCCCCTGAGCCTCGCTGCTGTTCCAGAGACCTGGGAGAGGCCACAGCCTGGGGAGGGACCCAGTGCGCAGGGAAGCTGTATGCCAGCTCTGCCTCCCTCATATCCAGGGGCGCCTCGTGATGGGCAGGATGGGTGTCCGAGGGCCCAGGGGGTGTCCTGCTGGGTGTCCGAGGGCCCAGGGCGCCTCCTGCCTGGGTGTCCGAGGGCCCAGGGCGCCTCCTACCTGGGTGTCCAACGGCCCGGGGGCATCCTGCCCTGGTGTCTGAGGACATTCCGTTTCTCTTCACATTCCCTCCCGGCTGTTTGTGTGCTGCTGGCTGGCTTTGCCAAGCTGGCTGCACTCTGCAGCATCCCAGGTAAGTGCACAGCACTGCTGGGCCAGCCCCTCTTGAGGCCGCCTGGCCAGAGTTCCCTTGTGGCATTCCACCTGTATCTATTTGCTCAGCAGCCTTTGCAACCCTAACCCAGAGGCACCCGACTAGATTTCCCTCGCGGCTTTCTACCTGTATGTGTTTGCTCGGCAGCCTTTGCAACACCTTGTGGCAGCAGACAAGTACAGGTTGTTTTCTGAATAAAGAAGGCGCAGGTGCAGCCCAGAGCAGATGTGTTATTCAGCGCCGCTCCGCTTCTGACGGAAACCAGCAGAGGGAGAGGCCAGGCAGCTGGGGGAGCTGTGCCCGGGGAGCACGGAGCTCTGGCTAAGGCACCCCAGAGAGGCCTCTGCACAGGACGTAAAGTGGGAGGGTCAGTGTCTCCTGGGCTGCCGGTCAGTAGAAGGAGAGGATGCCTTCAGGGTTCTGGTCTTGTCAGAAAGGGGAATGAGACCCTGGCGACTGCTGGACATGATGGTGAATCAGCCCTGACCCTGGGGTCTGTGTGCTTGTCCCTGGTGGTCACTGCAAACATGGGGTCCAGGGTGGTCCAGACCTGAGGCCTTACTCATCATTCTGGCAGGAAGCTGAGCCCGGGCTCCTCTGATGGTTAGCAGCAGTAGGTTGCCTTGTGGCCTGGGAAGCCTCATGCACGTGGGCCTGCTTGTTTAGTCTAGAGGGTGTTCAAGGAAGAGCCAGACTGGGGCTGGCACAGTGGTGCAGCATGCTAACCCTCTGTCTTGTGGCCCTGGGATCCCGTAGAGGTGCTGGTTCAAGTCCTGGCTGCTCCACATCTCATCAGCTCTGCTTGTGGCCTGAGGGGCAGCGGAGGATCGTCCTTAGGGTCAGCTCAGCCTTGGTCTTTGTGGCCTTTTGGGAGTTGAGCCAGCACATAGAAGAATCTTCTCTGTAAAACCTACTTTTCAAAAAAAGAGTTGGGCTGGCATAGTATGCAAAGCACCCCTGTGACACATCCCATGTGGGCACCAGTTTATCTGGTCTGTCTCTCTGCTGATAACAAGCAGCACAAGATACCCAGGTCAGTGGTGGCCTAGCAGTTAAAGTCCTTGCCTTGAACGTGCTGGATTCGCATATGGGTGCTGGTTCTAATCCTGGAAGCCCTGCTTCCCATCCAGCTCCCTGCTTGTGGTTTGGGAAAGCCGTTGAGGACAGCCCAGAGTCTTGGCACCCTGCACCTATGTGGGAGACCCGGAAGAAGCTCCTGGGTCCTGGCTTCAGAATGGCTCAACTCCAGGCATTGCAGCCACTTGAGGAGTGAATCAGTGGACAGAAGATCTTCCTCTCTTGACTATGCAAAAAAATATATATATCCAGGTCCTTGGGCCCCTGCACCCCGTGCAAGACCCCCAATGGAGCCCCTGGCTCAGCTCTGGCTGTTGTGCCTACTTAAGGAGTGGACCAACAGATAGGTCTGGCTCTCGTGCATATTTTAGATACATAATCCTTAAAAGTGTTTTGCTTTTTTTTTTAAAGATTTATTTTTATTATTTTTTTATTGGAAAGGCGGATATACAGAGAGGAGAGACAGAGAGGAAGATCTTCCGTCCAATGATTCACTCCCCAAGTGAGCGCAACGGCTGATGCTATGCTGATCCGAAGCCAGGAGCCTCTTCCGGGTCTCCCACATGGGCGCAGGGTCTCAAAGCCTTGGGCCGTCCTCCACTGCTTTCCCAGGCCACAGGCAGGGAGCTGGGTGGGAAGCGGGGCTGCCGGGATAGAACCGGTGAACATATGGGATCCCGGGCGTGCAAGGCGAGGACCTTAACCACTGCGCCACCACGCCGGGCCCGTGTTTTGTTTTTTTAAAAGATTTAATTAGTTTTCTTGGAAAGGTAGATTCACAGAAATGAGAGACAGAGAAAGATCTACCATCTGCTTGTCCACTCCTGAAGTAGCCACAGCTGCTGGAGCTGAGCTGATCCAAAACCAGGAGCTTCTTCCAGGTCTCCCACGCGGGTGTAGGGTCCCAAGGCTTTGGGCCATCCTCCACTGCTTTCCTAGGCCACAAGCAGGGAGCTGGATGGGAAGTGGGGCCATTGGGACAAGAACTGGTGCCCACGTGGGGTCCTGGCATGTGCAAGGTGAGGACTTAGCCACTGGGCTGCCGTGCTGGGCCAAAGTGCAGTTATTAAATGTGACAAACACTGCAGCATTACAGACTGCCTCTTGTGCTGTGACAGTTTCTGCCACAGCTCACTGCATGCCTCTCTGAGGTTGCAGCCTGCTGGGCTGAGCAGGAGCCGTGGGGTGGCCGCACTCTCCTCTAGTATTGCCCAGGTGATGGATGGGGCCATTGTGGAGTTGTTCCTGCCACCCAGGCTGCCTCCCACTGCAGACCCAACAGGGACTTATACCCAAATGCCCATTGACCCACTTGAGGCTACAAGTTGTGTGTTTTTGTTGTTAAGATTTATTTATGGGCCCGGCGCGGTGGCGCAAGTGGTTAAGGTCCTCGCCTTGCACGCCCAGGATCCCATATGTTCGCCGGTTCTAATCCCGGCAGCCCCGCTTCCCATCCAACTCCCTGCCTGTGGCCTGGGAAAGCAGTCGAGGACGGCCCAAAGCTTTGAGACCGTGCACCCGTGCGGGAGACCCAGAAGAGGCTCTTGGCTTCGGATTGGCATAGCATCGACCGTTGAGCTCACTTGGGGAGTGAATCATTGGACGGAAGATCTTCCTCTCTGTTTCTCCTCTCTGTATATCCACCTTTCCAATAAAAAAATAAAAATAAATCTTTAATTAAAAAAAAAGATTTATTTATTTTGGGGTGAATCAAGATGGTGGAATAGGGTAAGGACATATTTAAACGGACGGAGAAGCATTTAACCAGAATGAAGCAGAGAGGACATATTTCAGGAAATACGAAAGGACAGAACAACAGCAGAGGGGTACCTGGAGACTGACAGACACAGGAAGCAGCAGGCACAGCAGTGTGATGTTGCAGTGAATGATATTCCAGCACGGCGATCTAAACTCCACCAGCAGCCGGAACTCCACCAGCAACCAGGTGGGAAGGGACTTTCACTGGGAGCTTGGGAGGTGAACCCAGACGGGGAACTGTCTGTCCTGCTGGTCCGTTTGATTTGACCAGGAGCAGAGAGACAGAGCAGCAGATCCCAGGCGGGCAGTGCGAGAACAGCGAGGATTTCATAGCCCAGTCAGCCCCCCCTAGAGCTGAATTGGGCGCCATTTTGCCTAAGGAGGAAAGGGCAAGGGAAAGGACTGAGCATGCTCTGAGAGGGAGTGAGCTCATTTCTGACTTGGTGAACTGCAACGACGTGGCATTCTATGGGTTCCACCCAGGGCAGGTCTGGGTAGCCCTCGAATCTGACAGCCAGCAGATCAAGAACTGTTGTGGTAGCACATCGGGCGCCATTTTGCGCACTGTGGCAATAGCTTTGGGACTGCAGGGGACAACAGTGAACTGCGCATGTGCTGAGCTTGCGAGAACTCGCTGAGGTCCCGCAGGAAAATAATACCAACTGTGGCATTGTACCGGTTGTACAGGTCCATGTGGCACCCAGACCTAGCGTCCAACAAGTTCCGACAAGATCAGTGCCACCAACAACCTAACTAGATAGTCCACCTGGTGTCTCTTTAATCCTGGAACCCACTCCAACCAGAAGAGGGAGAAAGGTTGCAGAGACAACAGTGCAGCCTCATCACGGTATCACAGGAGGTGGAGAGTGGTGAGCCAAGAGCTGGGGCTGTGGAGACCATGGTGGATATCTGACATAAGAACCCAGACTTGGAACTCGCTGGAGGTTGTGGCACAAGTGGCTGCAAGCAAAAAGTTGTGTACCAACTGCAATAAGTAAAATCGCATTGTAGACCTGTGGGTCACACAACTTAGAAACCTGCCCCAAGAAGAAGACTCTGCTAACAATGATCAAGAGCAAAGGAAGAGACAAAGGCACAATGAATATTACTGAAAACTCCCCTGCAAAGGAGCAAAACCCTATGCCAACCTCAGAGTTAACTGAGGAAGACATTGAGAAAATGGGGACACAGAATTCATAAGACTCATTTTAAAGATTCTGGTCAAAAATGAGAAGTTAATGCAAGAGTTCAAAGAATTTAAGGAAGCAGTAAAGCAAATCAAGACTGGAATATCAGAAATTAAGAACACAGTAAAGCAAATTACAAGTACAGTGGAGAGTCTTCAAAATAGAATGAAGCAAGCGGAAGAAAAAATCTCAGAATTGGCAGATATCTCCTGTCACCAGGGGGAAGCAAACAAAAAGCTGGAAGCAGAGCTGGATCAGGCCAAAAAAAGTATTCAAGAATTGAAAGACACTATTAAGAGGCCAAATATAAGAGTTATGGGAGTCCTGGAAGGTGCAGAAAGAGAAGCTGAGTTTGCAAATGTATTTAATCAAATAATCAAGGAAAATTTCCCTAATCTGGAGAAAGAATTGGGAAACAAGATCCAGGAGGGACACAGAACTCCCAACAGGCTTGATCAAAAGCTATCTTCACCAAGACATATGATTATCAAGCTCTCTTCAATTGAACATAAGGAAAAGATCCTTAAATGTGCACGTGAAAAACATCAATTGACATATAAAGGAAGGCCAATTAAGCTCACAGGAGATCTCTCACAGGAAACTCTACAGGCAAGAAGAGAATGGAGTGACATATTCCAGATTCTAAAAGAAAAAAATTGTCAGCCTAGGATAACATACCCTGCAAAGCTTTCTTTCATCTTTGAAAAATGAAATAAAATTCTGCCAGAGTAAAGAAAAGCTAAAAGAATTTGCCTCTTCCAAACCTGCTCTACAAATTATACTTCAAGATGTTCTCTTGACAGAGAGGAGGAATAGCACCTACCAAAACCAAAGGCAAACAGGAAGAACATCCCAGTAAAATGACAACAGAAGACTAAATCAATGAACAACCCATTCCTAAAATTACAGGACCAAAGTACCGCCTATGTATATTTAACTTTAAATGTAAATGGCTTAAGCTCAATCAAACATCATAGATTAGTAGACTGGATTAAAAAACAAAACCCATTTGTTTATTGTCGGGAGGAGACACACTCCAACAAAGATCAGCGGAAACTCTATCACATGGGTTTTGTTGTTTTCTGTTGGTTTCATCTCTTCAAAACACTTTCTTCTGATTAAATCATTCAATGACTCGTAGATCATGCAGTGGCATCATTTTCTTCAAGAAGGTTCTTGATTTTCACTTCTT